CTCCCCGGTAGGTCAGACCTGGGCCAGGTTCACCTCGGCCCTCATACTTAGCTTTCGTCGGCGTTGGTGGCAGCCATCTCGGCTATCCGAGCTGGGCATGACTCATGGGCCATCTTGGAGCACCAATAGGGGTCCTCCACGTGTCCAGGGTATTTTCATCCCCAAACAACAGAGGTCCAATTTTAAAATGACAACTTTACCCGAATGATATACATCTATCATATATTTGTAATATATTTGTAATATATCAAACTACTGATACATGTATATGGCCAAAACGAGCATAGCTCAGCGGTAATTGACATATACTGATATACATCTAATATACTACTGATATAAGTGAAACTTTTTGCTATATTTGAAAATTTAAAAAGTAGTAATATATTTTGAAATACATGAAAGATTTTTGCTACCTAGTGTAATTTTCCATATATAAAAGTGTACACATATCAAAAAAAATTTTAATACTCTCACCATAAAATATATTTTATTTTTTAGTAATAGTTATTTTGAGTAATCTTAAATGAGCGTAGACCATATACCCCAACTAATTATAAATTCTGTTGTCAGACTTCTTACATTTCTAAAATCAAATCGTGGCTAGTAAATTTTCACTTGCATAAAATCATAAAATTTTCAATAAAGTTTTCTCGGAAAAACGGATCTAACACATCAGAGAAAGAAAATATTTACATTTCAAATATTTAATCCACAATGACAACAAAGTGTGCGTCATCACACGCTATTTCAGAAACTATTCTATTAATCAAAATCATATAAAATTTTAAAGTAATGTACGTCATAAAAAGAATCTGAAGATCTTCCTTTTGGTGGCCGACTTGAAGAGCTCCTCTAAGGGCCGACCTAAAGAGCTCTCTGAGAGCTAACCTGAAGGTCTTACCTGAAGAGCTCCCTGAGGGCCGACCTGAAGGCCTTCCCTAAAGGCCGATCTGAAGGTCTTCCCTGAATATCATTCAAGGGAGGAACGACCTTCCATACTTAGCCAAATTCCAGATGATAAGAGTATGAACTGGAACAGCTACTCCCAACATGCCGACCTTGGTCCCGACATGCTCAACCGCTGGTCGGATTCCTTGTCGGGTACCTCAACCTATAAATAGGACACTTCACTCTTCAGTTAGATATCGTATTCTAGCTCGGCCTTCATACTAAGGTCGGACTCAAAACTGAATTGAGCGTCGGAGTGTTTGTTCCCTTGTGCAGGTCTTTCCTCGCCAAGTGGCCTTCAGCTCATCCCAGTCAGCCGACGTTGACTCTTTGAGCTGGTCATCCCTTTCCAAGGATACTCAAGCTCTTCCCGCGGTCATACCTGGAGCAGGTCAAGCTCTCCCGACGGTCATACCTGGAGTAGGTCGAGCTCTTCCGCATGGCCAACCTTGGCCAGGTCATACCCCGTCACATTTTTTGCATAAACATTTGGCGCCATCTATGGGGAAGGACATTTGAAGTCATTCCTACCAAACAAAGCTATGACACGCACGAAACCATCCAATATCCACGTTTCAATGAAGATCTCTGAGATGTTTTCAAGGACCGAGCTAGGCGATCGACATGTAAACAATGATAGCTCAACCTCGCCTAGAGGAAGAGCTTCATCTCAACTCTACCCCACCTAGAGGAAGAACTTCATGTCAGATAACTCAACCTCGTCAAGAGGAAGAGTTTCATCTCAGCTCATCCCCGCCTTGTGGAAAAGCTTCATCTCAGCTAATCTCGGATAGAGGAAG